GCGACTTCTCGCCCCCGCCCGAGCTCCGTGCGCAGTTCGCTCGGAAGCGGCGTTTTCCCGCGCGGGCGCGGCGCCTGGCTCTCGCTCGCCGAAGCGTGTGGCATCGCCAGCGCCGGCGGGGCCCCGCGCGAGGAGGGGCGCGATGCCGACCTCGCCCAAGAGCCGCGTACAGTCGGGGCGTTGACCTAAGGAACCCTAAATAAGGAACGAGGCCCCTTTTTCCATAAGTTAAACTTCGATTTCCTATCGAAAACATAAGGAAAACCTGAGGCAAGCTGTGAAACACTTAAGGAACGCGGAGCCCCTCCCCAACCAAAAGGGTTCCTTCTTCAGGGCCCCGACTGTAGCTTTGGAGTGAAGGTGGCCGTGCTGCGCCAGCGCGTCGCATGTTTCGTCTCTGCCCGCCCCCCTCAGGAGCTTTGCCGCTCCCGCCCCGGCGCGGTCCTCGCAGCTCCGTTCGCCAGAGCGCGTCGGAAGCGGAGCCGCGCGCGAGCGCCTGCCGTTGGCGAGGGGGGGAGGCACTCCAATCCCAATAGCAGGTTGTGCCACAGGTGGCTCCTAGGATGCGGGAGGGAGGGGTTGAAGTGGGCAGGGCCCTCTGGTTAGCTCGACCTGGCCCTCCTCCTCCTCCTCCTCCTCCTCCTGCTCCTCCTCCTCCTCTCCTCCTCCTCCTCCTCCTCCTCCTTCCTCCTCTCCTCCTCCTCCTCCTCCTCCTCCTCCTCTCCCCCTACTCCTCCTCGCTTCTCCCTCCTCCGCCTCCTCCTCCTCCTCCACTCCCTTCCTCCTCCCCTCCTCCTCTTTCTCCTCCTCACTCCTCCTCCTCCTCCTCCTCCTCCATCCTTCTCCTCCCTCCTCCTCGCCCTCGTCCTCCTCGTCCTCCTCCTCCTCTTCCTCCTCGCCCTCGTCCTCCTCGTCCTCCTCCTCCTCCTCCTCATCCTCCTCCTCCTCGTCCTCCTCGCCTCCTCGCCTCCACCTCCTCCTCCTCCTCCTCCTCCTCCTCCTCCTCCTCCTCCTCCTCCCTCATCCTCCTGCGTCCGAGGAGGCGGGGCGCCAAAAGCGCCCGCGGTAGCCTGTGCCCGGGACGTCCACGCGGCGTACCGGAAGGCCATGGTCGACGGGAAGCTCGCCACGTCGTCCCGGGAGGCAACTCCCCGAACGCGGGCTCCCTCCTGCGGAGGGGGCTGGAGGGGGGCAGGAGGGGAGGGAGAGAGGGAGGAGGAGGAAAGAGGAGGAGGCGGAGGAGGAGGAGGAGGGGGAGGAGGAGGAGGAGGAGGAGGAGGAGGAGGAAGACGATGAGGATTTTTTTGTTTTGACAGGCGCCCTGAACCCGAGCCAGCTCGGGTTGAGTTGGGAAAAAACTCGGACTAGTTTACCCCCCTGGTGCAGGGTCAGTCCGAGCCTTCTGAAAGGGAGTGCTGGTCTGGAGCGTGCTCGCCCTCCTCCCGAAGCGATCTGCGGACCTGAGCCAACATGTCGGGCTCAGCAAGATCACCTGGATCAGATTCGCTCGTTTCAGCAGCAGGGTCGAACACTTCGCACGTCACTCCAGCCAGCTTGGGATGTCTACCCCTCCGCAGCGCCCTCAAGACCGAGGACGCGTACTCAGACTTCCTGGGCCCTTCAGGCTCGGGAATACACGACTTGCGAAGCTTCCTGAATTGACCGCCGCAGCTGTACCCGCAGCAGGGATGGCAAAAATACAACATACTTTGACTCGAACACTGAAGGGCCGTGATAGCGTGGCCCTTATCACGTATGGAAAGGGCCACGTCAGGGGGCTGGCCCGAGCACCCTGAAAAACCGGGTTTTTCAGACTGGCGGCGAGATCGGAGACACGTGATGCAGCGCCAGAAGGTGGCACACCACACCCACTCATGATGATACTGCTCCCCAGGGGGGGGCGGCGGCTCCACCTCGCGGGCTGGGGCGATAAAATCCACCCCGTCTAGGTTAAGTCTCGGCCAAGACGGAAGAAGACGGGCTGCCAGCAGGCCGACATTCTTGGCAACTTTGAGTTGCCAGTCTACAGAATCAAGTTCAGCGTTAGAGCCCTTGGCGTGCATGTCCACTCCTCGCTTGGCCGCTTTGTCGGCCTCATCATTACCAAGTTTGAAATACCGCTGATCGGCCGTTAAATCTGGGGAATCCGCTACGTGAGCCTTCACCTTGTGAAGGCTGTTCAATTTAGTCTGAAGCGTATTTATCATCAGCCCTGCATAAGGCCGCTTGTAGGAGAGACGCTTGGGTCGCTCCATGAGAAGCGCTTTGCAAACATTGAGGCAATCACTGAAGCCATCTGAGGGCCCCAGGAGACACAGAGAACCGTATGCCAGGCTACTGTACTCCGCCGCTTGGGAGGTCTGGGGGAACCTGTCCCAAAGGGGGGCCCACATGACACACTGCAAATGCTTATGATTATCATAAACAGCTAAGCCCCACCCTGCCCTGCTTAATTCCTTAATTACGTGCTTCCTACATGATCCGTCGAAGAACACGTCCCCAGAGAATAGTTGCTCATCAGATTCATCGTGCTGAGGAGCTTCCCAATGGACCACAGGGGGGGCCTTCCTTGGAGGGCATCGGGAGGTGCTCGCAGGGGTGGGTGAAGATACCTTTCGTGAACAACACGAACTTGTCATTCGAGACGGTAGCTAAGTCCACCTCGGAAGTCGCCTGCAACACTTCGGGATCACAAAGCTCCTTCCTGAGATCGCCGGCCGCAGGACACACCCATAACCTGTGCCACATTGAATCTGAAGGGCCGCCACACAGAGAACAGCAAACCTCAGGGATTTGATATCCGAGGGACACGGCTTTCTCCTGGGTCCAACAGGCCCCGCAGGCATTGGCACGGATGCATCCCTTCTCGAAATAGGAGTATTTCGAGCTGCGCAAGTCTCTGATCACAGCGTCGTAACATGCGCGGCCTTGAAGACCGAGCTTCTGACCTGAAATTCGACAAAGCATCCTGGCCACTCCTTCGTGCAGCAACTGCTTGATAAGCTGAGGAGAATTGATGGTCAGGGAATACTTGACAACAAGATCGTTCTTCAGCTGCGCAAAGGACGTCATGGACCAGCCTATGCGGCTGAGCGAAAGAAACATGGCGCCCATCGGGCCGCGTACTCTGCGCCACGAGCTTGGCGGGCTAGCCCAGACATCTTCTCAGGCTGCACGAAGCTCACGAAATCCTAAAGCGAACGGAGTCTGCTGCACCTGGGCGCCCCAACTCTCTCTGGAGTACCGAGCGATAGGTGCGATGGAAGCGTGATATATCGGGTCGTTCTCGAGAATACACAGAGCCGTTAGGGACCTCGACCCCGCCGATGGTTTGACAGCCTTGCCGAGGAAGACGATGAGGAAGAGGCGGGGAGAAGGAGGAGGAGGAGGAGGAGGAGGAGGAGGAGAAGGAGGAGGAGAAGGCGGAGGAAGGAGGAGAAAGCGGAGGAGGGGAACATGTTCGGGAGGTTCTGTGCGGCCTTCCGCCGCTTGCAGCTGTTTTCCCAAGAACTCTTGAGTAGGCGGGTTATTGATTGAGATCAGTGTGCCGCCCCCGCCGCCTCCCCCTCCTCATCCTCCTCCTGCTCCTCCTCCTCCTCCTCCTCCTCCTCCTCCTCCTCCTCCTCCTCCTCCTCCTCCTCTTCTGCACTCCCCCTCCCCTCCCTTCCCCTATGCCCTCCCCTCCCCCTCCCCTCCCCTCCCCACCCCTCCCTCCCCTCTCCTCCCCTTCCCTCCCCCCCTCTCCCCTCCCATCTGCCCTCCCCCTCCCCTCCCCTCCGAATCACTTATACACATTCCAATCAGATCCACTCATACTCAGAATTGCTCGCATGCAGACCTGCTCACGCTCAGGCTCGCTCGTGCTCGGCCCACTCTTACTCGGACCAGATTCGCTCACACTCATCCGTCCGCCACTCATACCCAGAACCACTCGCACTCATTCTCCCTCACACATGGATTCACTCATCCGCACCCAGAATCACACATACACACTCAGACTCAGTCATAGCCAGACTCACTCGCACGAGACTCACTCGGACTCAGGCTCACTAGCACTCAGACTCAATCATACCCAGTCCCGCGTACACATGACCAATGAGACTCCAACTTCCTTTTACTCATAATCACCCATACACAAACTTACCAACACCCAAACTCACTCGGACCCACTCTCACCCAGATCCATTAATCCACCGACCCTCTCGGCGTGTGCGAGGGGGAGTTCTGAGGTGGTCGTCCATGGGTGGTCCTGGGGGAAAATGTTCGAAGCCCTCCTCCGCAGCCCGAGGTGGATCGACCCTGGTCGTCGAGTCGAAGGGGAACCCCTTCCCTGTGACCCCTTCCCCTTCGGAAGGGGGCGGGGGGGCTCGGGGGGGTCCTGGGGGGGAGGGGGCCTCGGGGGGTATGGGGGGGCCCTGGGGTGGGGCGCACCTTCCCCCCCCACCACCCTCCCTGGAGTGAATTCAAGAATCTTGGGGGCCAATTCGGCTACCTCTGGGCCACCCAGGCCCGCTATAGAGCTCTTGGGAGACTCGCGGGCCGTCTGGGAGGTCGGGGGCCTGCCCGACCCAAGAGGTCAAAATCGGTTGAACATCGTAGGCGTCTGGGTGATCTTAAAATTCTCGCCGAATCGGTCGCAAGATCGTCCGAGACAGCCCAGGACCCCCCGAAGATCAGCCCAAGATAACACAAGCGGGCCCCAAGAAGGGGCCTAAGAGGCCTCCGAGGCGGCCGAAGAGAGGCCCAAAAAGCACGCCACCGTCGCACCGTTGGAAGCCAAACCCTCCAACATAATCTCAATACCCCCGAGGGCCACAAGAGGCCACAACACGCCCCAAAATGGTCCCAGTATGGCCAGAAAGGCCCCCAGAGAAGACCCCCCGTGATCGTCCAGAATGCCCCCAGAGTTGCGGGATGGGCCGAGGGCCATGAGATTCTAGAGTCTCGCACAAAGCCGCGACTGCCCCCTGCCACCGCCCCTCGCGTGCCTCTCGCGCCCCAGCTGTTCACTTCTCCACTCCGGCGGAACCAACCGCAAGGCCTCTGTCATACTCAAACTCACTCGACCCAGCGCACTCACACTCGGCCTTGCACGTCGGTCCGACGTGCGCTCATACCCCCGCCACTGCCCCTTGCCACCGCCCCTCGTATGCCTCCTGCGCCCCAGCTGTTCACTTCTCAACATCGGCGGGACCAACCGCAAAGCCTTTGTAATACTCAGACCCACTCGATCAAGTGCACTCACTTTTTTGCGTCGGCGGCTGGGCAGACGGTGACTGCTCCGGCGGATTGGCAACAGGGGACACGCTGAATGCAAATTAAAGCCGCCATGCACGGAGGTAGAGAAGGAGCCTGGCGCGACAGAAAGAGAGGACGCCAGGCCCGCTCAGGCAAGCCCACACTCAGCCTTACACGTCGATCCGACGTGTGCTCATACCGCGGTGCAGTGGGCCTACCAGGGGGGGGGGGGCAAGGGAGTAGTATTAGGTCGGGCATGTCCCCCTACAGGCGGATTTCGGACGAAACATAAATACGAATCAAACAATACCCCAAACATGCTCAAAACTTGTGCATAAGTTATATATATATATATATATATACTACTGACTATATTCGGACTATTTGTGAGCATTCCTCCTGTAGAGGGACAGGCCCGACTCAAGAGCAATATACCGAGGGCCCGCTCGCGCCCAGAGTCTTACTCGGGCCTCCCAAAAGGGGCGTGGCCGCCCGGGGGGTTGTACACCACGGGCCCGCTCGCGCCCAGGGTGCCAGGAAGCATCTCAAGGAGAATGGCCGTCTTTGGACCACAGTCGGGGCGGTGACCAAAGGAACCCTAAAAGGAACGAGGTCCCCTTTTTCCCAGAAGTTAGACGTCGATTCCCCACGGAAGACCCAAGGAAAGCCTGAGGCAAACTGTTCAACATACAAGGAACACCGAGTCCCTCCCCAACGAAAAGGGCTCCTTCCTCAGCGCCCCGACTCTAGCGCGTCCCGCTGCTCGCAAGGTAACTGCTCGTAAGTGGCCCAGGTCCGCCGCGTGGAAAATCCACGATCCATTCCATCGAGGAGGACATGTTGCTTGTCGGACGTTTCTGCGGGTAGGCACTTTGCGAGTAGTGGAACGCGCTTGGTAAGACTTGGACCCTCGAACTCCCTCGTGTTCAGAGCCCCAGGATCGTCGCCATGGAGCAAGCATGACAGGTGGGCCTCTCAAGCGGAAGCCGCCGGGAGCACCTCACGGGACCCCTTCGCGCCCAGACCGCTGGGGCCCCTCAAGCACAACGGCTCGGACCCAGCGGACTCCTGCCTTTTCAGAGCCCAGCGATCAGCGCGACATGGCGGTCATGACAGGTGCGCCTCCGCAGAGGGAGCCGCCAGGAGGGACATCGCGGGCATCCATTCGCGCCCAGATGGTCGGGAGCTTTCCTCCCTTCGTCGCGAGACTTCTCGGATTCGGCTGCCGTCTTCTAGCCCTTCGGACTGCGGTTCGTACCCAAGCGTTGCCGAGGCCTCTCGTGTAAAATGACCGTGGTGGCGCTTCGGACTCCGCTTCTGCTGAAGGGCCCCGTGACTGCCGCGACGCAGCGGGAAGGGCCCGCTGGCCTCCCGAGGTGAAGCCGCAGGGGGGGGGGTATGGCCACGGGCCCGCTCGCGCCCCGAAGGCTTCGGAGAGCCCCCGAGGCAGCGAGGCAGCTTTGGCCTCTCGGACTCGCTGCTGTTCAGAACCCCATGACCGTCACCTGAGCGACGAGCGGGGTGACACATAGCGACCTTGCGTGAAGTCGGGCCTATCCCCCTACAGGGAGATTCTCGACGGGGGAAAAAATACACCGAAAATACCCCCAAAAGGTCAAAGAATACTCAAAAAAATAGTCCCCAGACTATTTTGGGACTATGTTTTGATTATGTGTGGGGTATGTTTTACTTTTCGTCGAAAATCCCCCTTGTAGGGGGGACACGCCCGACTTCAACCCTGCGCGGGTGCCTCCCGCGGGCCGCCCGCGGGGCGCGCGGCACTCGAAGCGCGAGGGGGCGCGCTCACGCGCGGCCTCACGCGGGCAGCTCTCACGCGCCACTGTCGGCGCAGACGACCCCGTTTTTTGTTGCGTCACTCACCTGGGGAGCCCCTGTTCTTGGCCTGCTTATTACCAGCCTGGAACATATCCCTATCCCTATGCTGGGCATCTCCTCATCACGATGCCAGTCTTAGGGATAGGGATATGTCAATATTAGGGATAGGGATAGGGATGTCAATCTTAGGGATAGGGATATGTTCGAGGCTGGTAAGCTTAGGGTCCCCCCTGCCCCCTCAGCCATCACCACCACCACCATCCTCTTCGCCACGCTCCTCCCGCCCTGGCGTGCCAAAGCTGTCCTCTTCGCCACGCTCCTCCCGCCCTCCGCCCTGGCGTGCCAAAGCTGTCCTCCTCGCCCGGCCTGCCACTCTGTGCCTCCCTCCTCCTCGTCCCCCCCACGTTCCTCCTCCCTCCCCTTCTCCACTTCCCTCCCCCTCCTCCCTGGGAGGAGGGAAGGGGAGGAGGACCAAACCTTCTGTTCAACAGGCTGGGGCTCTTTTCTGAGCCTCCAGCACCCTCAGGAGACCTCCAGACCTCTGGAAGCCTCCCCCCGAAGACCTCCACGTGGGGAGACTCCCAGCGTCGCAGAGAACAGGCCGCGACGGCCAGCCTTACGGAACCAAGTTCGGCCCTCCTCGTGCTCAGGGGCCCAAAGAGGACCGCCCCCGCGCGAAGCCTGACTCGGGAATCGAGCGCTCACACAAGGTCCACTCCCTCCCTCCTCCCTCCCCCCCTGCCCGGCCTGACTGTGTCCCCCTTCCCGGGAGGGGGGAGGGGCGAGGACCGCGGTGGCTCTGCAGAAGTGCCCTCCCAGTAGCTCTGCCGAAGATGGGGCCAGAACGTCCGGAGCCCCACGGACTAAAAGCAGAAGACGGGACATCGGGGGAGGAGGAGGAGGAGGAGGAGGAGGAGGAGGAGGAGGAGGAGGAGGAGAAGGAGGAGGAAGGGGGAGGAGGAGGAGAGGGGAGGAGGAGGAGGAGCAGTGAGGATTATGCGGTAGGATGGCAAGTGTTGTAGGGCATGGCGGAGGAGCGGGGCAGTAGGTGCGTGATGAGCATCATGAGTACGTGAAAGGGGGCTGGTATCGGGTGCTGGGTTTAGGGGGGGTGGGGATGCTATTCGGTCTGGCGGATGAATTGTCTGAGTCATTATAGGATACGGGCTTACTTACGTCTTCTGTTGATCACCCCCTGCGGAGGAGGAGGGTTTTGCTTATGCTGCTCCTGCGTGTACTTGCGCACCAGCTTGGCGCCTTCCGCGTCGTCGTGGTGATCCGTCCGGCCCTTCCCCGCTCAGCTGGCGGGCGAGGCACCGCTGGCGTGTCCTCACTCTTCGGCGTCGCGGCCGTCACCGGGCCGCCCCCCCGCCCGCCTGGTGACGTGACGCTCGGAGCTGGCGGGTCTGGGGCTACTCCAGACCATTCCCAAACCCCGCGGGCGCAAAACGCTGCGTCACCAGGCCCGCCATCCTCCGGTGGGGGGTTCCAGAGACACGCCTGGCGCCCCTGGAGGGCTGCTCGAAGTTGCCAGGGCCTCAGGACATCCTCGGCGGGTCGTCCCCAGTGGCCTCCGACGAAGGTAGACCCCGAGACCCGAGGAGGCGAGCGCCCAGGAGGGAGAGACGATCGGTGAGGCACCGAGCCCGTCGCGCGCCAGGCTGCAGGGACGAACCAGGTTGAATGTGGATCGGGGCTGCGCAATGGCAGGATGGGATGCACAAAGACGTACTGGTACTATATGTCATCCTTGGACGCGCGCGTCCGACCCGAACATATAGTATACCCATCTTGTAGTATATCGTTTCCCGAGCGGTGTGGCCATAATGCGCCCGCCACAACGCATATACTATAAGATTCCTCGGTGCGCGCATCGCCCCCGGGGGGGCGACGCACATATAGTATAAGTATGTTGGGGTGACGCCGACAGGAGGCTATTCTGCGTTTCGCACCCAGGCGTGCGACGTCGTCCTGACTTTGTCCATACGCGGTCCCCCGAAGCCGAGGGACCCTTGCCCCACGGACCGGCTTTTCATCCCGAGTCGTTGTTGCAGTCCCGGGGCCCTATGAGGGCCCCCAGTGGCCGAAAACGGCGGAAAACATCCCGCCCTGCTGTGTTTCTCGACGCGAGCATGTCTGGGATTAGGTCGGGCGTGTCCTCTTACAGGCGGGCTTTGGACGGAAAATAAAAAAAAATGCAAAAATAATACTCGCAAATTGTCAAAAGTAGTCCAGAAATCGTCCCCAGGACTATGTTTTAGCTATTTTTGAATTTTCCTCCTGTAGAGGGACAGGCCCGGCGTAAGTCTGGGTACTCTAGGTTTCTCAATAAGCGTGGGGGGGGGATACCCCCGACAGGGGCCAACATCGCCTCGTCGCCGCGCCGCGCCGGGTGTCGGAGCGCCTTCGGCGCGCGGTGGCTGCCCGCGACGGGGGTCGATGTGGGGGCTGCCGGCGGGGGTGACGCCCCCCCGACGCATATTGAGAAACTCGGAGTACTGAGCGCTGGGGGCCCCCCCCTCCCCCCGACCCCCGAGGTCGTGATTTCTTCAAAACGTCGACCCCCCGAGGTCTGGACCCCTTCCCCGAGACCCGCTTCTTCGTCCTGCGTCCTGGGTCCTCGTTGGACGGCCCCGAGGCCCGGTGAGGGCCCCCAGAGGTCGAGAAGAGCGAAAAAACATCCCGCCGCTGCAATTTGTTTACAGCGCGAGGGGTCCACCTCCCCTCCCTCGGGAGCGGCCAAGAGGGGGGCGCCCAAGAGGGTGGGGGTGCAAATCATGACCGGCGGCATGTGCGCGGCCCAGCGGGGGGGCCAGGGATGCAATGGAATGAGAAGAGGCGACATGAAATCTGGAGAAAGATCATGGCCCACGCCATGATATCCACCCCCACCTATAGTCATCACCCCCCTCCTTTCCGCTCCCGACTACTATGCGGGTCAACTGTATTAAAACAGGGCTAGGACCGGGATAAATCGCTCCAGAGCGTTCCGGAGCGCTCTCAGAGCGCTCCAGAACGCTCTGGAGCGGCCGCGGCGCCCAATACATCCTCCAAACCCGCCGACTCTCAGAGATTTCGAGTTATCCCGATCCGATTTTGCCCCGATCTTCGCGTCGTTTTATGTATCCCCCCCTTATCGTTGCCCCCGAGAGCGGCTGCCCGGGACCGGCCGGATCCGGCGTCCGCCGGGCCTCCGCGGCGCCCCGCGCCGGGGAAGGGGCGCGTCGCCCTCCTGGCGCGCGGCGCCCGCGGGAGGAGGGCGGCCCGGGGTCGGCCGGCGGGATGGCGCGCCTTGCCCTCCCCTGGCTCAAGGGGCCCAGGGACACACACACACACACACACACACACACAAACAGGCACAGATCCCAGGATTCCCCATATGTGTTTCCCCATGTTTTTTTTTCCGGGTGTTTTCGTCTGCCCCCCGCCTCCCACATGCTCCTCTCTCTCTCTCTCTGTCTCTCTCTCTCTCTCTCTATATATATATATGCGTATGTATATGTATATAATGTATGCATGTGTCTGTGAATCTATATATATATATGAATATATATATATATATATATATATATACATATGTATACACACATATATATATACATATATACATACATACATATGTACATATAAAAATATATACATATATATATATATGTATATACGTACTCCTGGGAGTCGAAGGTTACTCGTGTCTGTGTACGTTTCCTCTTCCTGACTGGCGCGGATCACGACACGCAGCGCGCTGCTCTTCGCGGCGCACCTCCTCTCCCCAGACATGCTCGCGTCATGGAAAAAACATATATATATATATATACATATATATATAAGAATGCTAATACTATATATATATACTATATATATATGTATACATATATATATATATGTACACACCAAAAAAACAAAAACAACAAAAAACAAAACAACAACAAAAAAAAAAACGGAACAACAACAACAAAAAAACAGGGCGGGAGGCTCTTCCCCGTTTCGTGGCCGCCCTGGGGGCCCCCAGCACTTGGCCCCAGGGACCGTCCAGAAGCGACTCGGGATGAAAAACCGGTCCCGGGGGAAGAGCCCCTCGGCTCCGGGGGACCGCGGGAGCTCTTCGGGTGGCCGGCGGCGGCATCGGCCGACGCCCCGGGGAGGCTGCCTCCCGGCCTGCGGGCCCGACGCGCGCCCGCCGCCAGGGCAGCGCAAAAGGCGGCCGGGAGCGACGAGATCGCAGGCTCGACGTTTCCCCTGGGTCCGGTGCAGGGGGGCTGCGGCTCGCAGGCCGAGCTTCAGAACAGAGACACGCTCCAGAACCTTTTGTTTGTAGGGAGCCTCCACTCGCCATCGCTCGGACGCCCAGTCCCCGTGCATTGTTCGACTTCGTGCGTGCATGTTTCGCCAAACGATCAAAACTGCTCCTCAAGGGTCCACGCCGAGAAAACATGCACACGTCCGAGCGACGCCAAGTCCAAGGGGACCGGGCACTGAGAAAACAGGGCGTTGCATGCCCGGGTTCGAGGCTCCGCGCCGCTGGTCGGAAGTGCCCAGGGCCCTCTCGGCCCAGCGGCGCGCCACGGGCTTTTGAGGGGTGGCCGGCGGCTGCCCGCCGCAGGGCGGCCCGGATAGACAACCACCAACTCGGAGTCGCCGTCGTAGCGCTGCAGCTTGAAGTTGTTCACGGCGTACATGAGGTGGAACCTCGGCGTGCCAGCGTGTGTGTGTGTGTGTGTTTGTGTGTATGTCTCTCTTTCTCACTCGTCCTCCTCCTCATCCCCCTCCCCCTCCTCTGTGTCTATCTCTCTCTCTCTTTCTCATTCGTCCTCCTCCCCCTCCATTCCTTCTCCGTATAAATAACTTCTCCCTGTTGCACCCCGAAACCAATTTTTAGGGCGGGCCGGGCGTTTCGCCTGAGACTTCCTTACCATGTATGACTGTGAAGGATTAAGATTGGCAACAGCTTCACAGATGGAGGGTGGGTGGTTTTCTGTGGCTCTCGCCTCAGCGCCGCGCACATTCGTTTAACACATTTCCCAGGGCTTCACAGGTTGAGGGCGAGTCGTTTTCAAAATGTGGCTCTCGCCTTGGCGCCGCGCACACTGGCCTTAAAAAGTGCGAGAGTTTCACAGATTGAGGGCGGCTCCTTTTTCAAAATGTGGCTCTCGCCTTAGCGCCGCGCACATTCGCCTTAACAAATTGCAGGAGTTTCACGGATTCCCATGATCAACGAACCAGAAATGGAGTTTTTGAAGGATTCAGGCGTATGGGGGGTGCACAAATTATGTTGGCTCGCGGTGTTCAAATCCCCAGAACCGCGTTCTGGCACGATTCAGGATCGTCAAGACGCAACAGTCAGGTTGATCCGTGGCGTTGGAATCCCGAAAACAATGTTTTGGCATGACTCAGGGTCTTCAGGGCATGCTTCAGGCACTTCCCTCAGTATGTAAAAATGAACCGTTGTAGGGGCCTATGGAGAGGGAGCTTGGAGAGAGGGTTGATTCCAACATCGTTGATGCCTCTTGGGTTTACACTGGTCCTCCTCCTGTTCCTCCTCCTGTTCCTCCTCCTCCTCCTCCTCCT